CCCCCCCCCCCCCCCCCCCAATCCCTATGTATGCGACATACATAGGGATTGTTTTTATAATATTAAGTTGAATATCTTTCACTGTTTTCGACTTTTCGAGTTTTGATTTCACTATCGAGGAATCAATGAATGGATTATTGTAAAAACTAATGTGTGGGTTAATCAATAATGAAACTAATCATTAGTTGCTGTCGTAATTGTTTCATCAATACACTTCCAGAAAATTGTAAAAAAAAAAAAAAAAAAAAGCCGACGTACTCGACAACCCCAAAGACATTCATCAATCATCAGTCCATCTACTAACAAGCTACCCGCTGGACTGAATGTTTATAATACAAATATCCAATACAATGTATATTATTATGAATTAATGTTACTTGTAATACAAGAAGCGAAACTCTTCAATTAGGTTTGTTGGAAACGAGACTAGAGCAAAAATAATTACTAGATAAATCAAAAGACGGAGATTTATTATGTAACAATTGTGATAAGCGATGACTCATGAAACCCTTTTAAAGGTCTGGAAAAAAATCATGTCTATTCTTTCTGACATTGCATCGACTGAAAATCTGTAGATTTATTAGAGAAAATAAGCTTCAAATGCATCTTAAATTAGTTGTTTGCAGCCCTAAGCCGAAGTAAACTAGCATAGTAAACACACCATCCACTCGAGTAGAACTCCACCTCTGGGCTCTCTGTCCTCTGGCAGCAGGCGGTGGTTTGGGCCTCTGATGTGCATCTGCCTGTCTGTCCCTCTCTGTCCTCTCTCTTTCCATCTCCAGTTCTCCTTTTGTGGAGAGGAATTCCAGGCTGTTGGCCCACACAATCACCCGACCATTAGCATATGAAAGCTGCAGAGGGGCGGGAAAAAGGGAGCGGAACGGGGAGTCATAAAACTTCCAAATCAGTCCCGAGCACACTGCTTCTAATCTGCCTCATGGTGGCACATGTGCTGATGTAACTCCTCGATATTCTTCTCTTTCAGTTGTATTCATGGCCGTTGTCCTGCGTTGAACTGCTCCTCCTGACAGTTAGCAGCTCGTCAGTGATAACTGACAAGCTTAACTTTTCAGCCCCTCCGGCAACAACACTCGTCTTCAACCCCAGATGTGACATTTGCCTCCTTAGACTCTTCTCTCAGGCATAAAATCAATCTGAAGGATTCGCCTCACTCGCTTGAGATCTTAATGTAGTCCCACATGAGGCCGCATCGCATTGTAAGGTGGATTAATGTGAGAGGTGCTGTGTGTATTTGACAATGACAGGTGTTTACTGGGTGTTATTTTCACTGCATTGCTTTCATCATTTGGTTAGTAGTTGGACTGAACTGGTTGTTCTCAGTCTAAGCAGTTAACACCTCCACACACACGTTTCTTTCTGTATTCATTGCCTTTGTTTCCAAGTGAAGCCTCCCTCTAGTCTAGAGGGAAAGATGCAGACCGTGGACAGACTGTGGAGCGTGTGTGTGTTGCGTTGTGTCGGTGAGTCCGGCTGCAGCAAGGCATTAAACTATGAAGTAATGCCTCCCGCTGAGACCGGTTAATGTTTACACACAGAGGGCAGATTCTGACACCACTAAGCATTTTGATGCAATCAGCTGTTTTTGGAGGCACACGATTGGATTTAGTTAATTTGTATTTGAGTTCAAGCAGCTGACGTTATGAGTGTGGGGCTTAAATAGACATGCTAATAAACGTGTTAATTTATGTGAAGTTTATTGTGACAAAAGAGTCACGATAATTGACAGAATGCACTCAACTTTAAAAATAGGTCACATTTGATGCCATTAAACGTAAGATATCTCTCCTGTGGCCACTATTGCTGCGTCATTGTCCCCCCCACACAGCTGCAGACTTCGGGGCCGTCTTCGCTCACATTGTCGGGGCTTTTTCTCGCTCGTGCTCGTAAACCGTAGTCCTCAGCAGTTTGGCTGCAGCGAGAAGCGGCGTGAGCAGAATGCTGATTCACCTCACACTGCCACAGTAACCCCCCCCCCCCCCCACACGCCTGCACACAGACACATAATCCCCAACGACACGTGAGCGCCGTGCTGCAGTGAACGTACAGGGATGCTGGTTGTAAAGGTCCATCTGTGCATGGCAGGGTTACAGAAGACAAGCTGGAAAAGAGTGTGTCCCTACAGGCTTAGATCAAGACACACCTCATCCTTAGTGGATGGCACATAAAGACGCCTTTCTTCTATGATATTTCAAGTACGCCATTCTTGAGAGAGGGAGAGAGGGAGAGAGGGAGAGGTAGCTGGATGCTGCCGGGTCTCCTTTGCCCCGGATGATGATGAGAAAAAGTGTCTTGGGAAAGATGCAGCTCTCTTTGGTGCAATGCAGACAGGGCTGGGAGGAGCCATTGTCCAGTGGGCGGAGCTTCGTCTGCACGCAGGAGAGCATGTGTGGATGTGTTTGTGAGAAGGTATTGCTCTGTATCTATAAGTGCTTACACATTTTTGCCCAACCCCCCCAAGGCTCTCTCTCTCCCAGGTTGTAAATAACACCGCAGGGTTGTTATGGAAATTTTGCCCGTGTGTGTTTTGAATGGCAGTACCTGCGCTGTGGTGCGTCTACATTCAACCAGCCTACTAAGAGCAGTTACGTCACGCGGTACATTGTGAGGGTGGAGCCGTGGGAGTGAATAATCCCTCTGCAGAGCGCTGA